CGGTTGTAGACGTAGGCGCGGCATCCTATAGGTTTCATATGAGCGACGAGTGGTTTTCGTCCCCATACGACCTCGTACGGTGTCTTCCAGTCTAGTGCTTCGGTGGGCGTGCGATTGAGGATGTATGCGGCGGTGCGATACATCTCATGCGCTAGAGTTTTGGGCAGGTGAGCGTGAATACGCATAGCGCGAGCTCGCTGAGTGAGGACTCCGCCTGCGCGCTCAATAAGCCCATTTGGCTCCTTTGTGCCAGCTGGTGCTGGCTCGTATAGCATGCCCAGCTCCTCTGTAGTGTTGATGAGATCATTGCCAAATCCTTTCTCGTTGTCGCATCGGATAGCGACTACGTCGGCGTTGTACACGCGTTGGATTCGACGGATCAAGGCCATGAACCAACAAGTAAGTGTTGGCTTGTCCTTTCGCTTGATTGTGGCAATCTCATGCCACTTCGAGTACTCGTCTATAGAGTGTAGAGCGTATTTGCTGCCGTCGATACACTCCTCTCCCACAGGGATGATGTAGATCAAGTCTATTGCAATTCAAAAGAATGGTCGTTGTGCGCGGCTCTCAGCCAGGCGTCTTGAGATAATGTAAGTCATTCAAGCTTCAGTGCAGGTTTAGCAGAGACAGTCTATGTAGTCTCCTGTTAGTTAGACGCTAGTAACGTTTAATTCAAGCTGGTCGACTGCCTTTTAACCTAGGTGGCCCCAGATTTGATGAGCATCGCGTCAATCGACAACGTTTGCAGGCTTTGGCGCGTACAATAGGCGATATGATGCCCCAAACGTACTCAGCGGTGAGTGGAGAAGCGACAGCGGCGGTCGGCGTGATGGCTCGGCATCAATCAGCCAGTGTCCTCCATTGTATTCAAGTTGTGCGATGACGTTGGTCGGTTGATGCATGTACAGGACGTCGCGGCCAGAGTCAAAGTGGATCGACTCTGATCGGCAGCAAGCGAGTCCCAAGACGCTGGTTAAGAAGCCTTCGACGTACGCGACGTGCGTTAGCTCCAGCGTCAGCTGTCTATGTGGTGTACAGACG